ATGAGTTTCTCTTATCCTCCTTATTTTGAGAGCCATTTTTCGACTTATGCTTTACGATCTATTTGAAATCATGATTCGGACTTTTCGCTTTTATTAGTAGACGCAATTAGCAAGAATACTTCCTGTAAATTATGATAAGGTTGCAAAGGATCGATAAGTTGCATATACTATGACACTAGTCACACGTAAAACATCATAATCATGTAAAATATCTTCCATTCTTTTCCTTATACGCTGCAATCATCGACAGCAGAATTATACAGACAGACTAAGAAACTCAATTGTCTTTATCATATTCACGTGAGCACACTACGTTAAGAGGAAACAGTATCCGTGTACATGATGAAACTAAGAAAATGCAATTAGGCATATGAAACTGAAAATGATATGGCTTACATTTCTACTTTGCATCCAAGAATTTAATCCATTACACGACATTTTCGCCTTGATAAGCTATTAGGAATCGTATGCATACCACAACAAGCATTAGTTTCTAACAATAATTGAAATGTGAAACTCAGATGACATTGACAATAATCTAACGGCTTAGTGTTCATCATATCAAATGTTCTACGAAAACTAATCTTACGCAGATACTTAGTATAAGATCATTATCATTCATCTAACCACGATTATATGCAGATTCTAGAAAATAAAGAGATAAATTGGAAACCCACTCATTTCATGTAGTAAAGATAATAATTCTGATTGAAAAGATAGAATGGTCAAACGAAAACATTAATAATTCAGATACTAAACCAACAAAACTCCCACAAATGTTGATTTCAAAAGAAAACAAAAGACAAAACTACTTAGATCGCTGTCTCATCTTTCGTCTCTTCCTCTTCAACCTCCTCATACGCTTCTTCTTCCACTGAAACAATCCAAACATATAGACAAGAATCAATATCCATCCCTACACACTACTTCCCTACTTTTCATACACTAACATAAATTCCCATTACTTACCTTAGCTCTCATGCTGGTTTTCGCAGAAGCTTCACCCTTTCCCTCCTCTGGTTAATGTTTAGATCTAAGAAAATGAGAAGAAGCGGCGGTGTATCCAAATAAATTCTGATGGTCACCTTACTTTTTATATTGCATCAAACCCCTAAAAACTTATTTTTTATGGGCTTTCCTAATTTATAAGCCCATTAAAGCCTAAAACCTTATGTGGCTTCGTAGCCATGTCCACAAATATTTGCCTTCACACGACATAGATTGAAGATTTGATGACATGGACCAGAGATATCATTACAAGAACAAATGGTGGGTTTTGTTTAGCAGTTTAATTACGAAAAAAGGATAATTTAGTAAAAAAAAAAAAAAAGAAAGAGACGAAAATGGAGAAGGAGAGGTGGTGGAGGTGATGAAGAGATCCTCAAAAACCGTAGAAAAATCCTCTGAAAAAATCCCCCCCAAAAATATAAAAAAAGAAAAGCTTCTCCTCTTTCCTTTTAGATTCTTCTCTTTTGTCTGAATCCCTTTTTCCTCGCGCAATCCCGAGATGTCCGACAGGTAATCTTAAAACTTCTTCAATGTCTTGTCTTGAATCTCCTAAAGTTTGACTCTTTCATTGTCCTATTGAGAATAAAAATTGACCCTTTTAATTTGATTTTTATGAAGCTCCTCTGTTTCTTGAGGGCGCAACTCTAAAAGATTCAATACTTTTCTTATCTTATAGGATACTCTGCAAGTTCTTTGTCCATGACTCGTGTTTAAAAGGAGAAAACTGTGAATACTCTCATGACTCCAAGCACCATCCCAATAATGTAATTCCTCATCTCATACTCAACCATCTTTTTATTTTTTAATAATTGGATTGTTATTCATGTATTTATTAATCAGGTTTGCACATTCTATCAAAAAGGGATATGTTTATACGGAACTAGATGTAGATACGAACATGTCAGAACCTCTCAGAAAGGAGACAAACCACTTAACCTCTCTTACACACACCCAAGAGAACGCCCACTCTGCTCATTCGCCGCTGCTGGTGACTGCCCACGAGGCAGCCAATGCCCACACATCCACGGAGACATCTGCAGCACCTGTGGGAAGAAGTGTTTGCATCCTTTTAGACCCGAGGAGCGAGAAGAGCACACGAAAGAATGTGAGAAGAAGCAGAAACATATAGAAGCGTTGAAGAAGAGTCAAGAGATTGAGTGTAGTGTGTGTTTGGATCGTGTCTTGTCGAAAGCTACTCCAGGGGAGAGGAAGTTTGGGTTGTTGACTGAGTGTCATCATCCGTTTTGTATACAGTGTATTCGTAATTGGCGTAGTAGTGCTCCTGTTTCGGGGATGGATGTGAATAGCACGTTGAGAGCTTGTCCTATATGTCGTAAGCTGTCGTATTTCGTTGTCCCGAGTGTTGTCTGGTACTCTACTCCTGAAGAGAAGAAGGAGATCATTGACGTATACAAGGCAAAACTCAGGTATAGCCAACGAAGAAATCGCTAGGCGATAACTAAGCGTTTTATAAGATTATTATTAGGCGGACATCTAGACCGATTTTTTGAACGTCTAAACCGATTTTTAGAACACTATTAGCTAACTTGATGTCTTTATATAGTGATATGGCTTAGTAGATAATACATTGTTTTATATTCCAATCTTGAAGGTCTATTGACTGCAAGCACTTCAGCTTTGGAAATGGGAACTGCCCATTTGGAGGAAGTTGTTTCTACAAGGTATAAATGGATTGTACATTCTACGCATCAGAATCAATGGTTATAGTAACTATTGTATTTGGTTTGTTATATAGCATGCATATGCTGATGGTAACTTGGAAGAAGTTGTTGTACGGCATCTTGGTTCTCTTGAAGGAGAAACTATAATAGCAGACAGTGTCACCGGGTAATGTTTCTTGCTAAACTCTCTTTTCCTCTTATCTCAATATGATAACTTCAGATAATCATTTCTTTTCCCCTTACTTTTTATTTGTCTGTTACAAGACCATGTGTGCTATGTTTTCAGGCTATCAGAGTTCCTTGGTCGCGTGCACATTTAAATAATCTTTCATAAATAAAATCGAATGTAAGTTCCAACCCCGTTTCTAAATATGATGATAAAGCAGCTTATTGGTCACTTTTATGACTAACATTCTTTCTAAAACACAGAAGACAGATGCTCTGCTGATGACAACATCTTTTCTTTCCAAAATGCATTTTGATTCTCGTTGACAATCCCTTGAAACATTAGGTGAAGCCATTTACTTGATTACCTTTACTACTATATTCTTTTCCTGTGTTATTATCTGATTCAAGCTTTATCTTCTGGTTATAGATATGAAGACATGCTCAGAGGGGGTTGATAGTTCAAAACATATTAGGAGACAGAAGAAAACTCATTTGTAAATAATATTTAGATAGGGGATTGCTACTGCAGTATATGTAAATAAATAACAAGATTGTTTGATCAAAGCATGCTACTATTCATGTGATGTAAATAAAACCTTTCATAACTTCATGAGAAAAGATTGTAAAGAGAGATTCAATTTCTGAATTTCTATCCAGGTGGATAGCTTTATGTTCAGGTATGGACAGAAAAGCCAAGAGAAGTTAGTGATTTTTACTTTATTTAGATTTGAGACAGCAACATGTGAAATAAAGATGAACATATAGGATCTCAAAAGATGTTTTTTTTTTGGTCTACCATCTGAGAATGGCAAATCCAGAAAGGATGAGAGAAAGAGATAATCATTGACATTTTGAAACCAAAAAAGCTTGATTTGCTGAAAAGATGAATTTTAACCCAAAAGGGAGTGACCAAACAAGTGTAATGAAGAAACATATGGTGCATGAGCCCAATGAGAGTTTAAAGGCCTAATTGGTTTTTGATTTATGTTGTGTTTCCTTTTCAATTAGTTAGTTAGCTCTGCCATATATAAGGAAATGTACTGATGTTTTGGTGGTTAACAGTCATGGTAAGCCACTGTGCGCCATTAGATACTTTATTAGTTTAATTTTAAGAACCAAAACTCGTTTTGTGTATGTGATGCATGATATGCATTAAGATGGAGTATGATCTATGCTCCAATGATATTACCCATCCTTTATCAGTTGAGTAAGCAACTATCTGTTTTATTTTCAAACGTTTATTGGATGCACATTAAGTTTTTTTTTCTTCTTTTGAAGATGATGGTTATATTTAAGTTTCGTTATATATAGACTCCTTTTTGGACTTTTTTGAAGATGATGGTTTTTGTGGCACGTGAAAATTATGTGAATTAATTACGCTAACTTCATTCAGCTTGCGCATATTCTTACGTTTGGATTTGATATCATTCTGTTTATATTATATGTGCTAGATTTTTGATGTTATTATAAGTTTTTGTCTCATTCATCCTGTAATATTCTTCTACTAGTATTTTTTCGAAGATCTTTAATTGCTTCTAAATATTCTTTATTTATTAGATTTGTTTGATTTTATAGTAAAATGAAAGTTACTTCAAAATCTGTCTGCAGCCTAAAACGAATTGTTGTTTGGAACAATCCTAAAACAACACTTCTTTATATTTTTTCGGCACAGAAATATTGTTTCTATATATTGAACATTGGTTATCAGTTTTAAGAAAACACAAATTAACCAAAAGATGTACATACTCATAGACTTAGAAGTCATGTGTGTGGTGGTGTGGGGTAAGAAAGAGAGAGAGGTTGGTCTTGTTCTTGTCTTTGACTCTAACCAGTCTTTTTCGATGCATTTTTCTTCACTCACAAGTCTATCATCATGTTTTTAACGAAGACATATGTTTTATATATTAATTTATAACAAAAAAACATGCATGACCCACCTCTTGCTTCGTCTTCACATTCTTCTCTCTATTAGAGAGGCTCTCTCTCTACTCTTCTACCCATCAATCCCAACAAACACTTTACTCTCTCTCCTTTCCATATCCATTAGGACCATTACACATATTCATATCATTCCAAAACCATCCCCACAAATCATATCTTCCTCTCTCCATCCCTTCTGACAATCTCTCTCTCTCTCTGTATTCTTCTTCAAAAAGGATCCACAAGTCGAAATGATGATGAGGAATCCAAACAATACTACCATCAGAGAGAAGAAGAAGCCAAATCATCCATGTGGTGGTAGTAACAACAAACCAAAGCTAAGAAAGGGACTATGGTCTCCTGATGAAGACGAGAAACTCATAAGGTATATGTTGACCAATGGACAAGGATGTTGGAGTGACATTGCTAGGAATGCTGGTCTCTTACGATGTGGCAAAAGTTGTCGCCTTCGTTGGATCAATTACTTGAGGCCTGATCTTAAACGTGGTTCCTTCTCTCCTCAAGAAGAAGATCTCATCATCCATTTTCATTCCATTCTTGGTAATAGGTACTTTTTCCACATGCAAATGCAAAAACAAACGCTATATAAATTAGATTTTTGAAACAACCAAGCCTTAGAATGAATCTTATATTTTTCCTAACGCATATGCAAAGTTTGAAACAATTTGGCGGTACAATTAGTCTCATATTTGTTCATAATTATTTATTTACCCTAAAACATTTTTCAGGTGGTCCCAAATAGCCACTCGGCTTCCAGGAAGAACAGACAGCGAGATCAAAAACTTTTGGAACTCGACATTGAAGAAAAGGTTTAAGAACAACAACAATGCTTCTTCAGAATCATCACCTAACAATAGTAATAGTAACTCCTTGGACCCAAGAGAGCAACATGTGGACATCGGAGGCAAGTCAAATCCAACGATGGATAGCTATCATCATCATGATGAAATAATGATAGTGGGAAGCACCATGGGCATGGACTCTTCTTCATTCAGTTATGCACATGTGGTTAATGGTGTTGGCTTAAACCAGCTTCATCCATTGATATCAGTACCGGATCATAACCAATATCAACAAATGGTAAACACAGGAAACTTGTTCAACGTCAATGGGTTAGGAGGAGATTACAGAAATGCAATTCTTGATCCGATTAGCAAGGGAACATCAGTAGGAAGTGAATGGTTACTTCCTCGGTCGGAGAATATTGATGCCATTGCTTGTACCACAAGAAACAATGTAAACTTAGAGGTTCTTGCTCCTTGCTTCAATAGCAAAAATATGAGTCATTCAGAAAGCTTCAAAGTAGGGAACCTGTTAGGCATGGAGAACAGTTCCTGGGAAATAGAAAATCCCAAAATAGGAGATTGGGATTTGGATAGTCTCATCGATAACAACTCTTCTTTCCCCTTCCTTGATTTCCAAGTTGATTAACATTCTTCTATACATCTTCAGGAACCAGTTACCAAAGCAGATACTTCCCCCCCCCCCTACCGGAGCTCGAATTTGATTAGTCCTATCTCATTCCATGAGTCTTTTTTCTTTTGCAGCAAGTCTTCTTTCCATCAAGCTTGGTCTATTCTTTTATTTCCATTTATGTTCCTATCATATGTTCCAGGAAGCTAAGTATATGTTTTACATCTATAGGGAGGAGGAGTTAGCCACTATGCATGGTTCCTTTAGTACATGAAATGTGAATAGGAAGGTACATTGAGATTTTATTTGCTGAGGAGGTACTTAAATAATGGCCCACGCAATGAGGTGATTAGATGGTTTATTTGTATAGCTTTTTCTTATCTTTCCAATTCTTTTTCTGTATAAATCCGAGTTTGATGTGTAAAACACGGTTTCTTAATAAGAAAGCATTCTCTTTCATTCTCTCTCCACCTAAACTTGGACTTGTTTACTACAAAAAGAAAATTGTTTAGTATCTTGAGATATATCAGAAACATTGGTAACATGTGTTGTTATCTAGTTTGAGTTAGGAGTCTAACACATTCATAACTCAAAAATGCTATCAATCATGTATTAATATTTTTTCGGATTTGAAATTTGATTTACCATATGTTGTAGTTGAGTTGCAATTTTGACTTTCACTCTTTACAAAATTGTTAACTCAATAGTCACTACAACATCAAGGAAATTTTTCATGTTTTAGAAGTTCAGCTACAATTTTAATTGATTTTCTATCTAAAAATAAACTGAAAATTAAATATTTCCAAACTTCCACGTGTCGACTTATGATTACATTAGTGGATTTTTTTCTTTGTAAATTTTAAAATATTATTTAAGATTATAATTCCACAAATATAGCATAATTTTATATATTTTACCTAATTTTGGGCTAGTCAGATATTTTTATAAGTTTGAACATTTATAGCTTTTGTTACTATTGGATTTTTAATTTAAATAAGCTAGTATTATTTAGTTGTTGATATTAAAATAAATAATATTATTAATGATTATAAGTTTAAGAAAATAATATATATTACAAAAACTTAAATACTTTTAAATTATAATTTTGGCATTTATTTATTTTATATAGGTTATTTGTTTATTTGTTTTTAAATATTTAATTATTTATATTTAATTAGTTTATTAAGTCATACTATAATTTATACGTAAAAGTTACCAATCAGCTGTTTTAAGAAAAAATAATAATTCTTATTTTAATTGCAAATTTACTACATAAATTCAAGTTTCTACTAAATAAATCTTACTAAAAAATTACATCAAATTACATAATATATTGCGACTCAATTTTAAAACTACACTAGATTTTGACCCGCGCTTAAAAGAGCGGAAATTTTTTATGATTAAAAATTTATATAATTGGGTTTTGGCATAATTTAAATAATATTTTGATATAAAATCAATTCACCAAAATTTGTGGTGATGATTGTTTTTCGTTAGTTTTTAGTTTCAGTTTTTATTTTTAGATTTTGGATTTTGGTTTTTAGTTTTTAAGTTTCTACTTTTTATTTTCAGTTTTTGGTTTGGGTTTTTAATTTTTAAACCCGCTGAGTTAGTTAGAACAAATATTACCAACAAACAAATCTCAAATAATCGAACATCTAATTTAAAACTGAAAATATGAAAACAATTTTTAAAAAAAAAAATTGAAATAGTTTATTTTGTAAATAAACAAAGCAAAAAAATATAATATGTGTTTTCAGCTTTTGGTTTTGGATTTTAGTTTTTAGATTTGGTTTTTGGTTTTGCTTTACATTTTTTTTAATCAGTAAATTATTTAAGAAAATAAAAAATAAATTATTTAAAAGTTACCATTGAAACTTATCAAAACAAAGTGATTGTTATTTAAAATAAAAAATATATTAACATGTTTTAAAGTACATGATTTAAATAAATTATTAATAATGGATAATTTTGTTTAGTTAAAAATATTAAATACCTTTTGGGTCTGAAAATAATAATTGATTTTTTGATCTTTTAAGGTGAAAAGTTTATTCAATGTTTTTGGAGTTTTTTCTTAATACTAAGCGCAAAAACCAAACTATATAATTTGTTCAAAAAATAAAAGTAAGCCCAAAACTATATTCCATAAATAACTACTGGTTTAATTTAAGTATAATTAGTAAATTTTCATATTCCATGTTTTGATGATATATATTCTTTTAGAATATTTCATATTTTTAGGAGAAAATATCTGTTTTTGGTGTACACATAGATATCTGCCGTATTTTGAAGGTAGTTTACATTAAGGTCGTCTTTTTACATTAATTTTGTTGGTTTAATTTAATTAATACGGTTCAATCAATTATATGACTTATATTATTTGTAACATTCTAAAAAGAGTCCAAATTTAAATGACAACTTGTATCAGTAGATAAAAAGAATGACTCTATTTTAATAGAGTAGATTTCACAAGTTAGAACCATTGTTCAAACTTCAAACTTTCATCTTTTTCGTCCAAGTTACAACACATTTATTTTTACTTGAATTTATCAGTTTAATTCAGATTTACAGTTTTATATTGACTTTATATTACTGGTAGCATTAATTAGAAAATCAAAAAGTACTTTTCTTATAAATTTAAAATATTTACTTTGTAAGAAAAAAAGCACAAAACGTATACTTAAAGAAACAAATACTTAAATCATAAGTATGTCATAATAAAGAAAATACAAATGCCTGTCTAAATGTTGGGTTAATGGACCTTAGGTGAACTTCGTATTGAAATGACTTTCTGGGACATTAATGGAGGCTCCAAGCCCAAATGAAGCATTATCCTGATTGTTTGGTTTAGTTCAAAATATACATTGGGTTCCGGTTTGGAGGTTCTAGAAAATCGTTTATGTTAAGAAATGAAGATGGTGGTTGGGACATATCCGGAAATGGACCAGACCACATCAGTACCATACCAGGCGGCCAAGCATCAGTCACTATCCTCCCTTGTATTTATCCATATGTTGTAGTTATCCTAATCATTATAGGATTAGGATAATCATCCCCTTTATTGTTGTAATCCTTATCTCCTAAGGAATATGCTTATNAAGCATCAGTCACTATCCTCCCTTGTATTTATCCATATGTTGTAGTTATCCTAATCATTATAGGATTAGGATAATCATCCCCTTTATTGTTGTAATCCTTATCTCCTAAGGAATATGCTTATTCTCTTGTATGTATATATATGTATGTGCACGTGATGAATAAGATATACAGAGTTACAACCTTCTTTATTCTTTAACACGTTATCAGCACGAGCCCTAACCCTAAGCTAAAAATCCGTAGCTCTCTCTCTCTCTAAGCGGCTGCAGAAACCCTAATCTCAGACCCAACTTCAAAGCGACGTATCTCCCAAACCCTGTGTACCCAGACGACGATCTACATACCAAACTGAAGCTCTGGAAGAGAGGAAT